GGAGGGGGGTGTGGGGAGCACCAGGGCTGGGGGCACCATCAGGCAGAGCCCTGGGGGGCTCCAGGGAGGGGGTGAGGAGCTGGGACCCACCAGCTGGGCCCACGGTGGCTTGTCATCCGGTAGTGGCTCTGCCCTGCGTGGCACAGAGGCAGCAAGGCCACGAGTGCATCTGTGCCCCCCTCAGCCCCCCTGGTTTGGCCCTACTCCCTTCGCTGCCTCCTCGAGGCTTCGGGACTCCTTGGAGCTGTATCTGCGAGGGGGTCACTGGGTCCCTGCTAATGCAGTGCTGCCGGGGGGGGCAGATTTTGAGGAGCGGGGAGTCCCTGGAGCACTCCTCAGCCCAGGAAGAGCCTTCCTCAGCCACCTCGGGGGCGAGCGGTGAGTTGGCAAGTCTGTCCCCGTGCATGTGACTCTGCTGACTCCCGCCGCCGGATCCAGCCGCCTCCCCCGGCAGCACTCGTTGCTAACGCCGTGGTCGGCGTCCTTAGGAGATCCGGGTCGGTGAGGGCCCATCCCTCACGTCTCCTTTCCCCCACCACGGGCTCGCGTGGAAGAGGGAACTGAGGAGGAGGGGAGCTGGTTCTCCTGCCGCCAACTGCCTGAGCTGAGTGATTATCAGTCAGCTAAAAGCCTCGATCCCTTTGTGGCACCCTTGGAGGAAGGTTAAGAGTGCAGTGGGTGCAAGGTGGTGGGCTCCTTCCTTCCTGGAGGCCACCATCGAGGGCTGTGGGGACACGACCTGTCCTTGCCACCCCAATGGGGACAGAACCGATAGCTTGAGAGAGGTGAAGTTCATAATTAAGCAGCTGTAAACAAGCTCCACCTGTAAGTGGCGTTTTCTAGTGCCGCCTACAGCTGAAAAGCATGATTTATTGATGTGGGAGGAGGATGGGAGGGGTTCTCTTGCCTTCATGCCACCACCCGCTTCCCACCCTGCTGCTTTTTGGGGTGCTGAGGTGCAGCTGGTGTCCTGTCGGACCCCGACAGCGGTGTGGGGACTTCCCTGAGCCAGGAGGAAGGTGCTGTGGGGTAGCTGAGCTGAGTCATGCCGTGCTGGCCGGGACAAGGTGTGGCTCTGGCCTGGCCTATCCCCATCTGCGAGCACTGGGAGAGCTGGTGGTGCCGTGATGCCACCTTCCAGGAGCCTGTGGCAGCGGAGGGGACAGTGGCCTCCAGGTCTGAGCTGGGCTCAGGGACTGGTGACTTCTCAAAAGGGGGTTGTTGAGGGAATTTTTGCGCATGGCAGCAGGTGGAGATCTGTTTTGTGAACCAGACTTCCCCACGGATGTTTGATAGAAACACACTTTGTTTTATTGGCTCAAAAGAAGCGACAGGGAACAGAAACCTGGTGCCCTGGTTGAAACGGAGAGGGAGGAGAGGAAACTCTGAGCTGTGTTAACCTTGAGCTGAAGTGATAGAGCGGGCAGGCAGCCCTTCAAATGTCCCCAACCTCCCTTACCCTTGGAGGATCCTGCACAGCCTGAGGCTGGGAAGCACTTCGCTTCCATCCAGGTGCAGAGGGGCATCAGGTGTGACTCCAGAGTGACTTCAGTTCAGTTTGTTCCATTCACTGGTGACTCCTCAGGAACTCACAGTCGCTTGATTCCAGTTTTTTCCACCCCAGCTCCAAGGTCCCCATTGATTCCTGGCGTGTGCTGGGTTGGTTCCTCTCCTCAGGGCGTTGTCTCTGCAGGACTCTGCACCCTGGCTTTGTGTTAAGCTGAGATTCAGCAGGAGGTGGAAGATTTGGGGGCTTTTGGGGGGCAAACAAGCTCCCTGCCAGGACATGCAAGGCCCTGAGCCAGCACATGTCCCTTCATGCTGCCAGACCTGCCATGGGGGCTTCTCCCAGGTTTCCCTTCTAGAGCTGGGAAGGTGGCCCTAGGTGTTGGATGGGGACAGGCTCTCACCCCTCTCTTCTCCCTCCAGTTTGTCCTGAAAAACTATGGGGAGAACCCAGAGAACTACAATGAGGAGCTGCGAAAGCTGGAGCTGCTCCGGCAGGTAAGTTGGGCTCCTTCCCGAATCGCTCATGGCCTTAGTGAGACCTGCCCAAGCTGAATGTGGGGGAAGCTGGTTCATTGCCCACCTTGTGCTCAAGGATGCATCTGCTGCTCCCACCACCTCCCTGGAGCAGGGGCTGTGCAGAAGAGCTGTCACTGCTACTCCTCTTCCTCACCAGGTGCCCACGGAGGAGGCTTTTAGCAGCTGGGCTGTGTCCTGGGCTCTCAAGATGATTCCGTTTTCCCAAGGAGCATTCAGGCGTTGGGAATTAGGGCTCTGCTCTATCCCCTTTCCTGATTTTGGGGAGTTTTGTGTT